TTTTTGCCCACCCTGCTCACTGCACTTTGGTCACCCTCACCTTTCTTCCAACTCACCAAATCACTCCCTCCATAGGCTTCGTGCTTGCTTTTCTTTCTCTCTGATACTCTTCCTTTGGATCTTCACAGGGCATTTTGTTCTTTAAACTTACATGTTGTCAAGAAGGGATGAGTAACTTGATCTCACAGGGTATTTTATTATGTATTTATTTATTTGCTAAACAAAACAAGAGTGCCTGATCTGACCTTACAGCATTACAGTTAAATAATATTAAAGGTATTTTGACTTTGGATTTTACAGGAATTGACTTTGACCTCTTCTCAGCCTCCTTGAAGGGCCCCCACTACCCAACAAAAGCATTTTGGATTTTCCAAATTTACATGGAAATGCATATGTAGGTGTGCTCTATTCCTAGTCCCCAGTAACAAAATTACTTTCTCATCACCTGCTCAGTCTCTACTGGAAGAGACTGAACTAACTTTCAAATTGGTAATTGCAGCCAATTAGAAGTTTGTGAAACAGTTTTGAGGGTCACAAGCAGCATTTTAAAAACATGCAATGTATTACCGTAGAATCTTATGGAAAATATCAGTGTACCACACTGATCCTTATCCAGGAATACAGACACTTTAACTGCTGATGAAGAGAAGGACAGGGAGGGAAGGGCGACTGCAGTCACTGGGATCTCACTGGAACTCCTAGGTTCCTTTGTTGGACAGGTAACATCGTACAGCCTAATTCTAGGTTATCACAACTATCCGTGACTTATGAAGTAAAGGAGAATTTCATTCGGTGATTTAAAGAACTCATAATTTTCAACTGGGATACACTGAAGAGCTTTAGGTATGTTTTTGGGAAAACACCATCACGTGTGTTGTGTGTGTGACGTGTGTGTGAACTATGATATATTAATCAAACTAGTATAAATTGCTCTCAAAGAGATTGCTTTATTATTAGAAGAAAAAGGAATAAGAAAGTGAAAAATACAGAAACATATTCCAATTTAGCTGCTGGGTCTGGAATTATAGTGGAAATATTGAGAAAATGTTAACTCTATCATCAAACATTGACTTTACATCTCATTCTAAAAAGAAAAAGCACTTTTCCTGCAAATAAAAGCTTAAAACCTTCAAAATTAAAGGACATCTGAGGCTGGGCGTGGTGGCTCACACCTGTAATCCCAGCACTTTGGGAGGTCGAGGTGGGCGGATCATGAGGTTGGGAGTTCGAGACCAGTCTGGCCAACACAGTGAAACCCTGTCTCTAAAAACACAAAAATACAGAATTTTATAAAAATTTCTAAAAATACAAAAATTAGCTGGGCGTGGTGGTGCGTGCCTGTAATCCCAGCTACTCGGGAGGTGGAGGCAGGAGAATTGCTTGAACTTAGGAGGCGGAGGTTGCAGTGAGCCAAGATAGCACCACTGCACTCCAGCCTGGGCAACAGAGCAAGAATCCATCTGGGGAAAAAAATAAAAGGATATCTGAAAATTTAGCATGATGAACTTGTCGATAAACCCCTTCTATATGTTCCTAAAAAAGGAAGGGGGTAGAGTTATTGACACAATTTCTCAGTTTTTCCACAAATCTTTTTAATTTTTTTGGTTACATAAATTAACCCATTTATTATAGGCTAGTGATGTCTCAAAGAGTAGAGGAGCGTCTACTGGTCTTTCAATTGCTTCAGTCTTCTGATGGTGTTCTTTACCGTGACAGCGGAAGTGGTATTGTAGGTCCAGACAATGTGGTTCCTGCATGAAGACACCACTACTGTCTTCATACAGGAACCACAGTGCCAGATCCCCACAGCTCGTCTCTGCATCTTGGTTTTGCCACAGAAAAGAGCAAATGTACTTGGAGTGCTGGCTGATTTCAATTTTCTTCACCATTTTCCGGAGGGAGGCCCCACAGCGGGTCCTATATTTACCAACGATTCCAACTTCTTGGTTCAGCCATGTCACTGTGAACTATGGCCCAGCTCAGAGAGCTATTCCATAAATCTTAAGGAGAAAGACAATCAGTGTGCAAAAGAAATATGGGTCATAGTAAGTGCTGAAAAACTTCATCCGGTATTTATGGGTATGGTGCACATGCTTTCAGTGACAAATCAGCTGATAAATGAAAAACTATACTTCTTGGCAAAAACACAGTATCAGTGTATTACCTACCACAGAATATTTACAGCAACAATAACTATGATGTAGTAACAGTCCAACTTGCTAAGAGTACTAATACTGAAAGTTGCATAATATTTTTATGCCAGATATGTGTAGCAAGATAATTTTATAGAGGAATTATTGACTGTATAGAGAAAAATATATTCAGAATTTTAAAATAGTTCCCTTGGCCTCCATCACGGCAAGTAGTAGCAGCATCAGGGCGGCAGCAGTGATCAGAATGCGGTGAGGGAGATCGTGGACATTCTGCTTGTAGTCCCAGCTACTCCGGAGGCTGAGGCAGGAGAATGGCGTGAATCCAGAAGGCGGAGCTTGCAGCGAGCCGAGATCTTGTGTTTTAAATTAAGAACATGGAAAACACTTCTTGTAATCTGCCCTTTAACAAAGAACATAGAGTTTTCAGTTTGTTGGGCAGTTAATAGGGTGAACCAGATCATATTTATTGATTTAAAAAATTAATTTGATTAAACTTGGTATTTTATGAAGAGAATAAATTATTACAGCTTAGTACTTCATTTACACAGAAAAATGATTGTGAGGTATGAAATTTATCATGATGTTGGACTAAGATTAAAGAAGAATTTATTGCTATGAAGAACATGCATATGCATTATTACTATTCACGACAGCCTATATATCTCAACTAGGGTTTTCAATTTTGATCAGTTTAGAAAAGAAAAAGATCGGCCGGGCGCGGCGGCTAGAGCCTGTAATCCCAGCACTTTGGGAGGCCGAGACGGGCAGATCACGAGGTCAGGAGATGGAGACCATCCTGGCTAACACGATGAAACCCCGTTTCTACTAAAAAATACAAAAAAAAAAAAAAAAACACAAAAAAACACAAAAAACTAGCCGGGCGAGGTGGCGGGCACCTGTCGCCTGTCGCCTGTAGTCCCAGCTACTTGGGAGGCTGAGGCAGGAGAATGGCGTAAACCCGAGAGGCGGAGCTGAGATCGCCACTGCACTCCAGCCTGGGCGACAGAGCGAGACTCCGTCTCAAAAAAAAAAAAAAAAAAAAAAAAGAAAAGAAAAAAAAAGAAAAAAGAAAAGATCAGGCGCCACAGTGGATCAGATGTTCATGTACCACTGTCCTCATGAATACTGGATTGCAATAAACCTATGAACAGGCAAGAACTTCCATGGCGTTAAAGAAAATCTTTCCTAATGTGTTTCTATATGATATTAACATTTTTTTCTACACTGTATAATAAAATATTTTATATTAACTCTGTTGCGTCTGTTGCTTTTACTTTATCCTAAGCAGTAGGTAAGTATTGTGAAACTTGTATTTCAGATATGCACATATGTGTTATGTATATATGGGTGTACATTCTGGGTTACAGTGTAAAATTTCTTACTGTGGGTTGTGGATCAAAAAGTTGGAAAACTCAGTGGGTTAGAAGTTAGAAGATAATGTTGGACAAGTAACACACCTGTACTAGGATTTGGCCCACAGACCACCAGTTTGCAGTCTCTGAGCTAAACTGCGGAGGATATTGAATATGAGTGTACATTCATAGAACTTAGTTTGTAGGTAAGTTGCAGCCAGAGCAGAGAACGATATAATAAAAACTCTTTCAGAGATATTAATATGACCCCGTCTCAAGACTGGCGGGGATAGAGACTGAAGGCAGATCATTTAAGTACCACAAAGACAATCTAAAAATGAGACCCGAATTCGTAATCAGAAAAGGAGCAATGGGGAAGGAGATAACGGAGGTAAAACATGGTGCTGAGGAGAAAAGATAGGGTTTTAGAGTTGGGAGAGACCTTTGGAATCATAGATTTCATCACCATCTTCGTCCAAGTAGGGAAAGTAATAGGAGAGGAAAAAATAGTACCCTCTCAGAATTTGTCTCAGAATTTGTCTATGACGTCACACTGACTTAATAAAAGAGCTTTCAACAGTTCATCCAGTTAATGCGATTAACAGAAGGCTTGGATGTGAAGGGCGACCCCTCAAATTTACTTTTTATTCAATGGATTAAAATGGCCAGTAATTCTCATCCTTTCAGACCTGACTTCCAATTAATTAATTACAAGTGAGCCTATGGGGCGTGCCCAATCAATTCCTTCCCCATCCTGAAATGGGTCCTTTAGCATTCTTTTAAACAGTACGTTTCCTGAAATACCACCAAACCCTCTTAAGAAGTTTTGTGTGATTTCAACAGTTTAGGCCTTCTGAATGAGCCCAGAACTCTTCACCTGCTTGTTAATTTTCCAACTGCAAAGCGTTATTGAACATTTAATGACCCTGCCCCACGCAACGCCCACTGCGGCCGGGCGAGGGAAACCAGAGTAGGTCGAGGAAGGGGAGGCCTGCGCTTTCGGGAGGGAAGCCGCTGGGGCTAGTCGGGCTGAAGGTGGCCACTTCATTTTTTCCCTCGATACATTAAGGCTACGGGGACACAGGCCTGGCAGGCACGACGGCCGGCGCGTCTGTCTACCTTTGCCCAGAGTACGCCTTGAATAATCAGCTAACAACCCCAGTTCCCTTGAACCCAGCGCGGGAGACCCGGCGCCATGGCTAGGTCGGTCTCAGGCACATCCCGATGCTCGCCCCGGGAAGCTCCTGGAGCGCCTCTGGTTTCCGGGTACGAATAGGAAGCTGCTCGGGAAACCCCAGAACCCTCCCTTTGAGGAAGGGTGCAGACGGCGTCTCCGTTTCCACGGAAACAGGCCGAGCCATGTCGTCACTTCCGCCGACCTGTCTGGACGCCAGACTGTTGGGAGGAAAAGAGGAAAACTGAGCAACAGCCACGACAGTGGACGCGAGCGTCTCCTCAGTGCGCATGCGCCCGCTCAGCGGCCTGCTTCTATTTATGTGGGGGATCCAACATGGCGGCCGCGGCGACCCTGACGATGGCGGTGAAGCCCATCAGAACGTAGTAGCGGGGAAGGGGACACGGTCCGCACTCACCGTGGCGTCGGCGGAGACGGCTGAGGGTGGTGGAGGGAAGAAAAGCGACGGAGAGCAAGAGGAAGGGCGGGCAGGCACGCAGCGCGGCGTAGAAGCGAACGCCGGCTCGAGCTAAAGCAGAGGGCCAGAACAGTGGGGATGGCGGAGCCGCGCAGAGTAGCGTTCATTAGCTTGTCACCGGTGCGGCGGCGCGAGGCCGAGTACCCGGGGCCCGAGCGCGAGCCCGAGTACCCCCGCGAACCCCCCCGGCTGGAGCCGCAGCCGTACCGCGAGCCGGCCCGGGCGGAGCCGCCGGCCCCGCGGGAGCCTGCCCCCCGCTCGGACGCGCAGCCCCCGCCGCGGGAGAAGCCGCTCCCCCAGCGCGAGGTCAGCCGCGCCGAGCCACCCATGTCGCTGCAGCGCGAGCCCCCGCGGCCGGAGCCGCCGCCGCCGCTCCCGCAGCTGCCCTTGCAGCCGCCCCCGCCGCGGGAGTCGGCTTCCCGGGCTGAGCAGCCGCCGCGGCCGCCGAGGGAGACGGTGCGCCTGGAGCTGGTGCTCAAGGACCCCACCGACGAGAGCTGCGTGGAGTTCAGTTACCCGGAGCTGCTGCTGTGCGGAGAACAACGGGTACAGAAGATTCCTCCCTCCTGCCCCAGACCCCGAGAGCCTCAGGACCCGCCGTCTTTCCCAGCTGGTTTGCACCTTGGGACGGCCACCGAGCGCGTCCGGGTCGCCCCGAGGGTGGGGTGCGGGGGGCCGGGGCCGAGCGGGTGGACGGGGCGGTGAGCGCTGCTTCCTCCACTCCCTGGGGTGGCCGAGGCTCTCACCCGGCTGCGCCGTATCCCCAAACCCCCGGCACTCGCTCCCAACGCCGCGCCGAGCCTGTTTTCTTGTGCACTTTTCGGAACCTCAGATTTTCCTTCTTTCCTTTCTGCTCCCCACACAAAATCCTGGGGCCCTGCAGGCCGTGTGGCTGGGTTCTCCCTGTGGCGCTACAGCTGTCGTTCCAGTAGAAAGGAAGAGAAAACCTTGGGGGACACGCCCCCCAGTCTGAAGCAGAGGGATTGTGTAACCCCTCTCGTATCATCCTCATCCTCATCACTGTTTGTTTTGCTGGGCGCCGTGGCTGCTGAGGTGTGCTTGCGTGCCTGTGATATTTTTCTTAATCGAAGGGAATTTAAGAATAATTAAAGGTTTTCCGAGACTAAGGATCCCGCTTTAGGAATGGAGAAGTGGGTTAGTTAATCTGGTTACTAATTTTTCTCTCGTGTTGGTATTGGAAAACCTTTTTAGCTTTCCTTTTTTGTGGAGTTTGTTCATATTGTAATTGAATGGGAAGGTGTCTCCTGTTTTATTTGACACCTACCCGTCATATTATTTAAATGTATTAGCATTAGTTTATAGAACATTGTACTCGGCCTTTGTAATTTTCGGAGGATGATGAGAAAAATCTCAGCTTTGAATTTTTTAAAACAATTGAAAATATATAGGTATGCTTTTGATGTAAGAGGTGAACAATGGAGAAAGGATAGGGCTTATGTTGGTAATTGTAATTTTTATTGTTGTGGGTTGGTGGATCTTCAGAAGTAAGTTAGAAAAGGAAATGATAGATTAACAGTAAAGAAAGAGAACAGTTTTCTCTGTTGCTTAGCAATTATGCCCGTTATTAGGCTTTGCTTTAGCTTGGGTCTAATGGACTCCAGAAGTCACTTGTTTTTTCATCTTCAACTACCTTTATGGTCAAAATGACTGACTGCTTAGTCACAAAGTATCATGTTGAACAATTTCACTAGATTTTGTTTACTTTATGGCCAGCTAATGTTTTGGTCATTATTTAGAAATGTTGTGTGGTCAAATCATTACAAAATGTTTTAAACCAAAATGAATTGCTTAAAGGTAGAGATCACTTTGGTCACTTCCACATAACATTTTGCTCTTTAGACTCACTTGAGTGCCCCCTCTTTATAAATGTGATGTCACTTTTTTCCTAAAAGAAGATTAAAAATATTGGATTGGAGCATTTTCCAAACATTGTATTTGAGCTGCTAATCTAAGTTGGTTTGCAGTTTTTGTAATTTTCATAAATTACAGGAGAGAAGCATTATCTTTGTGTAAAAAATACATAGCAATAACTACATTTACTGAGTTCTTACTGTGTGCTAGACACAGTTCTAAGCACTGCACGTGGTTTTTCTAGTAGTCCTGCAGAACTCCATGGGGTAAAAACTATTATCCTCACTTTACAAACGTGTGTAATTTTATTAGTACTTCTTTCCATAGTGATACAATTTCTTAGTAAAACAAAATTTCTTAAAATTAACTCATATAGTTTAGAGGATTCTGCAAAAATGACATAAAATGTAAGTCACGGTAGAAATACAAAGACCTTTATTATGTCCCTGTTTATGCCGTAATACTCACACGATGGCAAATTAATACTAGATGTGTATCATTTAATTATAAAAAAGTTTGACACTTTTTAACAAGTTAGCTTTGTTAACTTGATAACACCAGAACTACTACTTTCGTGTAATAGGAGAAAGAGGAATAATTCCATTTAATTTTTCTGTTTACTTATTAACAGTGTAGGTGTGTATTGGCCCAATTTTCTCGTTGTATATCAACCTTCTATCTTTTTTCATATACCTCTGAACAAAACAAAATCCATTGTATATAATCACCTTTGCAACAAAGATTTGCCACATTTTCCTGTGACTGCTGCCAGTGAATACCCTTATTATGCAAGAAAGCATAGAAAACATATGTTTAAGTAAAATTGTCATGGTTTCATGAAGGGAAATCCTAGAAGAGAGACCATCAGAAAGCAAAATGCGAACATTAGAATTGGTCTGGAAAGTTGGTGGTTCCCAAAATTAGAAGAATTAGAGGAGGAAGGACTACATTTTTGAAATAGCCATCTATCAGTAAATAAGATTTTAGCGCCAGATGCTGAAATTGGTAGATGTGGGGCTATTAAAAAAAAAAAAAAAAGGTGTATTACATATGGATACCATTCATATGGGTGCATTTAAATCAGTTCCCTTCGTAAATATTAAATGAACAGTAAAACCCTGATTTACTGAAACACAATCAGAAATTTTTCTGTGCTCTATTTTTAATGCGAAAAGCACAATTAAATAATTTGTGCTGGGAAAATACGAAAAACAAAACCACAGGTTAGCTAAACCTTTAACCTTATTGTCTCTATGCAGTACAGTGCTGTGATTGAGGTGGTTTAGGATGATGACCAGCATTGGAATCATCTCTATCCTGAATGATTAATTTGGTCACCATTTCTGGCTAAAGGGTAATAGTGCATTTTAGAAATAAAGTTTGGCAATGATTGATATACAAAAAAAAGGTTTAACTCTTAGTAAACCAGAAAAATCAGTTAACCAGAACACCCATTTGTGAACATGCTTAATTGAACATTTACTGTAAAAAGAAAAATAAGTGTTTATAGTATGTTAATATAACTGTACTATTTGAGAATTCCGTGGCATTTCATTGTTTGCATATTTTGGATAAAATTTGTGAAAGAATCTCCTGAAAGTGGTGTTGATGAGTTAAGATCAAAGGACAAAATTACTGCATCAGTTTTGCATGTGGGTAGTTGATAATTTTCAGATATTTTTTCACCTGAAAAAACCAAAAAAGCTTAGTCTTGATTGGGGAAGGGTGTTTATTCTTAACTGTAAAAGAAAAGTGAGTCCATTTTCTTAAATTTGTTTTTGTAGGCTGTCAAGAGAAAATAAGAGCTGTACTTTTGATACCTACATAAAGTACATAAAATATTTTAGAATGGCGTATAAGGTGATTCTTATTAAAAATATAGATCCATAGGTTTATATTTATACATATAAAATGAGTCATACCACAGAGTAAGTATTTGGGCTTCACAGTGCATGAGGGAGCAGTTTGTAATAGACGTGGCGATTGCTCACTGTCCTTAACCTGAGCCTCTAGTTAAGGTTATACCTGCGGGGCGTGGTGACTCACGCCTGTAATCCCAGCACTTTGGGAGGCTGAGGTGGGCGGATCATGAGGTCAGGAGATCGAGACCATCCTGGCGAACACGGTGAAACCCTGTCTCTACTAAAAATACAAAAAATTAGCCGGGCAAGTTGGTGGGTGCTTGTAGTCCCAGCTACTGTGGAGACTGAGGCAGGAGAATGGCGTGAACCCAGGAGGCAGAGCTTGTGGTGAGCCGAGATCGCGCCACTGCTCTCCAGCCTGGGCAACAGAGCAAGACTGTGTCTCAAGAACAAACAAAAAAGGCTATACCCTGGACGTGCCTAGGATTCCTTATTATTCTCACTAGTTGATTCCTTTTTGGATCATGTTTATGTTTTTCATTGGTAAATTTTTTTTTGAGGAGTGACGAAGTCTCTCTCTGTCTCCACCAGGCTGGAGTGCGGTGGTGCGATCTCAGGATCTCAGCTCACTGCATCCTTCACCTCCCGGGTTGCAGCAATTCTCTTGTCTCAGCCTCCCAAGTAGCTGGGACTACAGGCAGGTGCCACCACACCCGGCTAGTTTTTGTATTTTTAGTAGAGTCAGGGTTTCACCATGTTGGCCTGGCGGGTCTTGAACTCCTGACCTCCCAAAGTGCCGGGATTACAGGTGTGAGCCACTGCTCCCGGCCTTTCGTTGGTAACTTCTATTGGGGTGAAGTAGTCTATAAATTTATTACTTATTACAATGATTTTAAAAATTGATTCTAAAGTTAACTCCTTTAAAGAAGTATCCCTTTATTCTAATGTCCCAAGTGTGATGAATTGTCTCGTATTCATTCTGTCCACATTTTTCTATCATGTTTTTTAGACCAATCACTTATCAACCTTTATATCCAGGATGAAGTACCTCAGTTTCTAAGTGTGCAAATCTTCCTTCCTTCTGTATTTTTTCTTGCCCTTCAGAGTCCATTGAATCTGTGTCAGTATTTCAGTTGTAGTATATCTTAATTTTTAATTACCTCAGTCAGTTGTCTGAAATTGGATAAAAGTAGTATTTTTATCCTTGTTTTGGTTTTTTTGTGCATTGAAAACCATATGTATGTTTGTATACTAAAGTAGAAGACTTAAGGATGTGATGGCTATTTTTGTTTGTTTTGTTAAATAGATGGTTAATGTGGGCTTCTAGCTCTGTGTTTGTGTGTTTTAAACCATGTATTATAATAAACTTTCACTCTCCCCTACTAGAAGAAAGACATGGTAATGTAATCTTTTTGCAGCTATTTCTCTTTTCTAGCTTTGTTTAAAAGTAGTGTGTATTCCCTGAATGCATATCCATTGACAGGATATTGGTGATATAATGGTTGTTGATACTGGACCTCAACAGAAAGCCTTAGCTGCTATACACACTCAGTGTTAACTCACAGGCAGATGATTAAGTGTTGATTTTAATTAATAATCTAGAGCTCCTTTTAGAAGCATTTCCTGATCAAAGCAGTTAATCTTTGCTAGTGAAGATATCAATCTAGAGTTATAAGTGAGATTTTCATGTTTGGCTAGTGTTCCTGGGGATTTTTTTTCCTTGTTATTTTGGATAAGGTGACCATATGATCATTTTGCAGGTGAAGACAATTTGGATTGTTGAGTTCTTACTCATCAAAACACTATGAAGTGTATATGAGTCCATTATAACTGTAAATACTTTTTGCTATGAACCAACTTTTTTTTTTTTTTTTTTAGTTTTAATACTTCTGACTTACTTGTTAGTATTAGGAAAAGTTGTCTCTTATTGATTAAATTTAAAATATAGTTTCTGAATAATATAATTAATTGTATACATATGTTATATATTCTCACTAGTTTATTTCCTTTCGGATCACATTTATTGAAATAGAATTGAAGTGTTTGTTACATAATGATAAATAAATAAACAATAATACTATTTGTAATACTAATGGATACTTCTGTTTCTTTTCCCATTCACCTTGAATCAGAAGAAGCTCATTCACACAGAAGACCCATTTAATGATGAACATCAGGAGAGGCAAGAGGTGGAAATGCTGGCTAAGAAATTTGAAATGAAATATGTGAGTATAATAAACTGATCACTTTTTTAAATCCTGTTGACCTGTTTCCTTTCTGTGACTTGTCGGGAGGGCCTATAAATATTCATTGCCTGCCTTACCTTGTTCTCACAGATTGAAACCAAGTGAATGGTTAGATAGTCAAATAAAGATTCCAATAGGCTTGTGATAAAGTAGTCATCATTCATTTTTATTTTTATCTATTTATTTTGGAAACAGGGTCTCGCTCTGGCACCCAGGCTGGAGTGGAGTGCAGTGGTGCAGTGTTGGCTTACTGCAACCTTTGCCTTCCAGATTCAAGCGATTCTCATGCCTTAGCCTCCCAAGTAGCTGTGACTACAGGGGCAACACCACACCCAGCTAATTTTTTGTATTTTTAGTAGAGACGGGATTTCACCATGTTGGCCAGGCTGGTCGTGAACTCTTGACCTCAAGTAATCCATCCTGCCAAGTAGCCATCATTTATTATAGTCGTTCTAGAGTCTAGGTGGTTTGCTTTTCATATATTATCTCCAATCTTTGTAACAAAACCACAAGCTAAGTAATATTGACCATATTTTACAGATGAGGAAACTGAGGCTGTGAGTTCAAGATTAAGTAACTGATATAAGGTCAGACAGTGGCAAGAGTAAGCTACAGGTCCAGGTCTGTGTAGCTCTAACTCTATTCGCTTTCTGCCACCATCGAGAATGCTATTTTAATTCCCTTGATATAGTAGTTCTCAAACCTTTCTGCCTCTTAAGAGTTTGACAGTGAATATGTGTACTTCTAAGCCCGTAGCATCAGACTCAGAACCAGCATGATGCCTCTTTGAAAGTGTCCAGTTTATGCTAAATATTCATGTACATTTTATATTCAGTGCCACAATATATTGGTGTTTGTTTGAATACAAAAATAATTTTTAATTACCTGATTAAGTTGCTTAACATTTCTCTCAAATTTTCTAGTATTACTGACTTTGTAGAAAGCCCCACTCCTCACCCCACATTTACACTATGGCTTTAAGTACTCTTGGCACTTTGCTAAAACGTAACCCAGTTGAGAAGCAACACTTTACCCCTCTGATTCCTCTGTGAGCATTGAAAATTATCCCACAAGAGGAAGGATATCAGCTCACACTGGCCTTGTCATTCATACTACCCTCAAGATGCCACTGGGATCTTGACCCAATCATGCTGGCTCCTTGTAATTAAGAAACCATTTGAGGGTAGAAGAAATAGATGAGAATAGATTGGAATTGAAATCAGGTCCTAGGCCATACTTTGCTATCTTCTAATTGTGTCCTTTTGGTGAGGTTTTAAGCTCTGGGCTACAGTTTTCTCTCTTTTTTTTTTTTTTTTTTTTTTTTTAAGACAGAGTCTCTCACCCAGGCTGGAGTGCAGGGGTGTGATCTCGGCTTACTGTAACCTCCACCTCCTGGGTTCAAGCAATTCTCCTGCCTCAGCCACCTGAGTAGCTGGGATTACAGGCATGTACCACCATGCCTGGCTAATATTTGTATTTTTAGTAAAGATGGTTTTACCATGTTGACCAGGCTGATCTCGAACTCCTGACCTCAAATAATCTGTCCGCCTTGGCCTCCCAAAGAGCTGGGATTACAGGTGTGAGCCACTGGGCCTGGCCGAGGCCACAGTTTTCTTACCTATAAATTGAGAGGTTCAGGTGTTTCAGAGACCCTCTGGTTCTCTCTTCTGTGACTATATAATAACAAATTTAGGGATGGACTGATGGGTATTTAAATAGAAGGAATAGCAAAAGTTGTTACACTAATTTGTAGTATTTAATTACAATGTAATATTTTGAGACTATATTGTATCATGATATGTAAATTGTAAAATCCTACAGAATGTATAAATCCTAAAATCCTAGCATGTATAAATCCTAAAATACTGTGTTTTTTATACAAGTTATACATTGGTTACACTTAATGTTTTAACCAACTAGTACACTTATGTGGCTCAAAATTCAAAAATTAAAAATCTTCCTTTTATTGTATTGCCCACCCATTGAATCCCACTTCCTAGGCAAGTAACATTCCTGTGGTACTAGAGATATATCTCTGTACATATACATCTATTCCTTTCCCACCCCCTTTTTATACATATTATAGAATACTGTACACACTTAAGCTCTTTGCTTTTTATTTACTGCATCTTAGTATGTTTGGGCGGGAGGTCATATCAGGACAAAGTGCTTTCTCTCCATTGCTGTTTCACTGCATGGAACTCTCACACTGTAACCAGTCCCCAAATGATTTAGGTTGTTTTTAAAAATTTGCCCTTATTAATAGTGCTGCAGTAAATTAGTCTGTAAAATGGCATTTTACACAATTTCAAGTTTATCTCTAGGACAGATTCCTAGAAGTAGACGATTCAGGTCGGAGGATTTATGCATTTATAATTTTAGTATATATTACTAAATATATATGTATATTATATGCAATATGTATTTAAAATAAATATGGCCGGGCGCGGTGGCTCAAGCCTGTAATCCCAGCACTTTGGGAGGCCGAGACGGGTGGATCACGAGGTCAGGAGATCAAGACCATCCTGGCTAACCCGGTGAAGAAACCCCGTCTCTACTAAAAAATACAAAAATCTAGCCGGGCGAGGTGGCGGGCGCCTGTAGTCCCAGCTACTTGGGAGTCTTGAGGCAGGAGAATGGCGTGAACCCGGGAGGCGGAGCTTGCAGTGAGCTGAGATCTGGCCACTGCACTCCAGCCTGGGCGACAGAGCGAGACTCCGCCTCAAAAAAAAAAAATAAATAAAAATAAAAAAATAAAATAAAATAAAATAAATATATATTTAAAATACATATTATACATATATATATTTAGTATATATTACTAAATTACCAGTTCTACTCCCTCCAGCACTATATCAGAATGTGTCTTTTTTTTGGGTTTTTTGTGTTTTTTTTTTTTTTGAGACAGTGTTTCACTCTTGTTGCCCAGGCTGGAGAGCAATGGCGCAGTATCGGCTCACTGCAACCTCCACCTCCGAGGTTCAAGCAGTTCTCCTGCCTCAGCCTCCCAGGTAGCTGGGATTACAGGCATGCACCACCACACGCAGTTAATTTTTTGTATTTAGTAGAGACAGGGTTTCACCATATTGGTCAGGCTGGTCTTGAACTCCTCACCTTAGGTGATCCACCACCTTGTCCACCCAAAGTGTTGGGATTACAGGTGTGAGCCACTGCACCCAGCCTAGAGTGTCTATTTTGCCATGGGTTACAAAATCAAGGATTAGAATTGCCCTTTGCAAATGGAAAAATTCCTCTATATAATCCTATAAGTAAAGTGATTCAGTGTATTACGCACTACCTTAAAGTTAGCATTAAGTCTTCTTAGTTAACCCTAGGATAGTATCTGGCGTAGGAAGACCAACGTTCTGAAGAAGTTATTTGATGCGTGAAAATGAGTTTTAGTTGACTTAGATATATTCAAGCCTTGTTATTTTATTTACAGTGATAAAATACTACTCGTTATAATCTAAATTAATGGGCTGTATTTCTTCTCTGGATTTTTATTTTGGTGACTTACTTTCTTATTTCCATTCTAATTAGAGATTTTGTGTACATTAACCAAAAAGCATGCCCAAGTGTTATATCTGTGAGTATTAAGAGTGTGTGTGTGTGTGTATTTATTTATTTGTTTGGTAGAGACAGGGTCTTGTTGTGTTGCCTAGGCTGGTCTTAAACTCCTGAGCTCAAGCGATCCACCTGCCTCAGCCTCCCAAAGTGCTGGGTTTGTAGGTGTGAGCCACTGTACCCAGCCTAAATATATATAAAATATATATATATATATGGTAATTATTTGGAACCTTTTAAGAAAATCATCAGGCCAAAAGTGACCTGAGAGAACATAGAGTGTCCTGCTAGGTGCTATAGGCCTAGAGCTCTAGGCTATCACAAAATGTCTCTTCAACTACAATAATCTTGATTGGTGTTTGGGGCAAGTGTTGCAGCAGTTGAAAATCAGTGATATCAGAAATTATAGGAGTATAGGCCAGGTGGGGTGGCTCACGCCTGTTATCCCAGCACTTTGGGAGGCGAGGCGGGTGGATCACCTGAGGTCAGGAGTTCGAGACCAGCCTGACCAACATGGAGAAACCCTGTCTCTACTGAAAATACAAAATTAGCCAGGCGTGGTGGCACATGCCTGTAATCCCAGCTACTTGGGAGGCTGAGGCAGGAGAATCGCTTGATCCCGGGAGGCGGAGGTTGTGGTGAGCCGAGATCACGCCACTGCACTCCAGCCTGGGCAAGGAGAGCGAAACTCCATCTCAAAAAAAAAAAAAATTATAGGGGGTATAAAATTGTAAAAAGAGCACCCTGCATTGAATTTATGGGGTTCCCCCCTCCATTGTGTCCTATTTTTATGGCCATGTTCTGTTTCCTGTTATGTTGTTCTTATGCTCAGGTAATGTGACAGTTCATATTCAGCATCAATTACTAATGGTTTTTTGGGAAAAGATCAATATGACTGTTAAATACTTAGTTTTACCTAGATTATACTAAATTGGTTGTTGTACATAAATCTTTTTAAATAGCGAAGTCCAAGTTTTGACATTTCTACAACTGTGTAGGCTCCAGATTCGTCTTGATGGTTAGAAAGGAGGCAGGATACAGGTAAAAGAGGCTCCCATACCTCTCTTTACTCCCAGTTAAGGCTCCAGAATGTTTAGGCGAAACATCTTGGTTTTCAATTTACTTTTTAGATGGTCTCTAGGTAATATATACCTTTTATGAGGCCACCTGTACTCTCTACTCTATACTCTGGAGTAAGATGCTTCAATTTGATGGGTATAGACTTGTTCTCTTGGCCTTCTAGGACATAGGATAACCTATAATTGTTGAAAGATTTCTCTTAGTGATTTTTTTCTCACCCCATTACCCCAGCCATTCTGAAAGATCATGCTGTCTTAGAATTGGATATAAATTCAGTAATCTAAATGAAAGCACCTAGCACAATACCTTGTGCCTAGCAGGGGCTCAGTTAAGAC